AGAACATTTTTTTCGGACAAATATCTACACATGAGGGTAATATAGTCTTTCATCCATTAGCCTAGGGTAAAGGCAGATTTAAGGCTCATTAATGGTGTCTGTAATTGATTGACGAGATCTGTGGGTAGGGGTGGCTGTTTCTCAGCGTTCGATGGACGTTTGACCTCAAGTTCTCACCGGATTCCATCGCGTGAGTAGCAGCCGTTCTTATTTCTTTATTATACTGAGTTTTTCACGCGATTAACAGTTCAATTTCTTACAGATTCTGGAGATAGTTCGTCAATTGCAGAATATGGGAAACTCTCCCCAATCGAGGAAACGAGGTAATATTTTTGTACTATGAAGAGTTGTTCGTCCATTGTTGTGTAATATCTCAAATCTTGGAGATAGTTAAATTTCACGATATGTGTAAGATCTCATACTATGAAGATCTGTTCGTTAGTGTTGTACAACCTCTTTGAGTTCTTATCGTACTCTGATGAAAAATATATATATATATATATATATATATAATGGTACCTTCACTTCTGATAGTTTTATTATATTTAGTGGTGTTGTTTTGTGTATGTTTATTTGTTGGGCTGTTCATGTAGTTTCCCACATTTTTTTAGTGTCAGATTGATGTAGATTTGATCTAATTTTTTTCGAGCAACCAATAAGTGTGTGGGTATTATGATCTGTTTTGGATTTGTGTGCAGGTGCTCCCCGCAAGAAGCCCGTCATCGTACCTGAACATAACGGCAACGGAGGTTCACATAATAACGACACAGGTACATTCTATGATGTGTCGTATGTTGTGTTTAGTTTGTTGCTATTTACCTTTTTATTGATTATATATATTATCAATATTTGTAATATTTGATTAAGTTGTTCTTATCAGCTTTAAACTATCGGTTTATTAGTGTTCCATGCTTTTATACGTGAATTCTGAACCATCGAGTGTTGTATGTATTCGGTGCCAGAGAGAACTCCCGATGCACCGGGACGTGTCAGCGACCGCCCTGATAACGACCATCCTGACGATGATGTGCCCATATCAGATATTACACCGAATCAGCCCGTCGCTCGACGTAGAACAAAGCTACCTTCAGTACAACAAAGCGTTACAACTGCACGGTCTAGTAACCCACAAGAAGGTAACTATTTAAGAAATATCTATATTTTATAATTGTCCTGTGAATTAAATACGTGGCTATTACATATACACGACTGTGGGATTCAATTTCTCACGTGACACTTTCACCTGTGTCAATTTAATCGTTGACATTAATATTCTAACTCTTTATTGTTTATAAGCTTATTAATTCTTATTTTCTTCTATTCTGTTTATCTTTATATGAATAAACTATCCGTATATCAGTGTTCTTTGCTTTTATACGTGTGTTCTCAACAATATTTTGTTGTACATATTCAGTGCCGGAACGAACTCCCGATGCACCAGAACGTGTCAACGTCCGTCCTGATGATGACCATCCCGTAGACGATGTACCCACAGCAGATATTACACCCACCCGGCCTGCCGCTCGACGTAGTACAAGACTACATACAGTACAACAATTCGATACGGCCGCAAAGTCCAGTAACCCAAACCAAGGTAACTATTTATGGAATATCTATATGAATAACTGTCCTGTGACTACAATATGTGGATATTTACATCTATACGACTGTTCGGGGTTTAATAATTTGTCATTAATCTATTAATTATTTCTTGTTTATAAGTTTTCTTATCAGAGTTTGAATGTCTCAATTTAGTTGGAATAATGTAGTTTTGTTTATCACTTATTGTGTAATTATTTATTCTAATATATGTTATGTGCAGATATAAACAACAATACGGATGAACAACTAATTGGCAAACCAAGCGATAGAGGTCGTTATGTCATTTTTTCTAAGAGTTTTGTGTTATTTTCTATACGTTATCTACATGTGGCTTATGTTAATATACACGAGCATTGAACGTTTAAAAAAATCAAATACCTGCTAGCACCAACTGTACGTAATATGCTCGTATAATGTTTTATAAATCGCAGCAATCAAGCGTAGGATTGTTACACCGGATCGGGCAGCGGGACGTGCGAAACGTTCAAAAATGGCAAGTCAGCCAGAACGCGGGGACGCCAATCAAACTCAAACAGAACGTTGCCAAAAAACGACAACGAGAGCCGGTATAAAGTTATACGTCTTATGATCACTATATTTGTTTTCATTACACGATACTAAATTGTATAAAGGTTTATATATCTTACAGGTGATGTAAGAGTGCAAAGGACTGTTAACGAAAAAGATGGTACGCATACACTGGAGGATACCCGGGCAGTAACCGATGATGCGCTCCCGACCATCCACACGCGAACATCGCCAGCCATATTCGTGAAGGCGGTGTCCGGTCTGTCTGAGGACCAGAGACGTGCAGTCCGTGATATGGGATTTGGAAGCTTGCTCGATTAGACGATAACAGCAACACCAGCGAAAATGGGATATTGGCTGGTTGATAACTTCAACCATATGGACCGGAAGCTGCAATTGTATGACGGTGGGAAAATCCATGTGAAAGAAGATGATCTATATAGAGTGATGGGTCTGCCCCGTGGGAATATTGAGGTCACAAACTGGAAGAAAAAAACAGAGTCGGAAGCGTTGAAAGAATGTGCCGATGTGTACAATGTCAACATTGCCACCAAAATAACGGCTACAGAGGTGTTGGATATGATTCAGAGCTGTGATAGGAGCGACGACTGGTTCAAACGACATTTTTTGGTTCTAATGATCACGTGTTTGTTTGAGAGCTCTCAGAACGGGGTGGCGAACTTACGCACGGTTCACTTGCTCGATGATTTATCGAACGTGAGCAAGATGAACTGGTGTGCGTACATGATTCGGTGTCTGGTGGGTGCTAAAAAATCATGGTATGTTAGTCAGAAGCACAAGAATTTCACTGGACCTTTGCTATTTCTGACGGTATGTGAATTCGATCCCCGACGACGTTTATTTTGTTTACTTTATTGGTTTCATCACTATTTATTTATTTGCGTTATTGTGGTCTTCTGTTCGTGTAGCTGTTTTATGTCGACAAGGTTGTGTTATCGATTAGATCCGTTCCAAGATCACTACCGATTTTTAAATCATGGAATAACGGTCTGCTGAAAGCGAGAGAGCGTGACGAGGTTGCGGCTGGTGCATTTGGGAGAGGATATGTTGATGATGACATACATGGGTCGGATGGTCATCACCGTGCCGACATACATAGTGGCAGCCCCGTTGGGAATGACATGAACTGTGCGTCGGAAGTAAGTGTGCATGTAAGTGTATATAACAGTTGATTTATTCTGTGTCTTCATTTTTTTCATTTTTTAGTTTTTTTCTTTCAGTGCAACAGCTGCATAACATTTGTGCAATGTGTATAGTTATTTGGTGCAGTCTGGTATCGTTGAGTGTATACGATGTTGTATGAATTATTTTTTTGCATCATATGACTTGCATTGTTGTATACACGTTTAATTGATTCGTTTACCATTTTAGTTGTTTCAGTCGTTCATGTATGAATTTGCATCAAATGACCATATATTTTTTTTGCGTTTCCCCACACGTGATATATTTCGTTGATTGAGGTGGATATGTAGTGTGATATTGCCCGTTTGTGTCTTGTCTTGTTTGTCTAAATTGTTTATTGTATACTTGCTCGTTTTTGTCTTAAGTTTACAGTTTCTTGAATCGTCGCATGTTTGTTACGTTTTATACATTATGTATAATTGGTGCAATCGGGTTCACTGAAAAGTTCAACGTGTACATCAATTATGTGCAACCAACACCAATAGTGTATATGTGTTTTTTGACTATTTGTTATGGTTTATATGTGACATATAGGCGGTTCAACCGTATTAATTATGTGCAACCGGAAGCAGTAGTGTATATATGTTTCTATATATGTTTCTGTATTATCTTGATCGTGATGCTATGTTCGATATGGGTATGTATTGTGATTTTATCAGAATGTATATTGTATTTTTTTGTCTTGATTGCTTGTTTACTCTACGGTTATATGATTCTTCAAATTTTTAGTTATTCGATATGATTTATATGTGGTGGATAATCGGTGCATCCGTATACACATAATGGTGCAGTCTGTCTAGTAGTTATGTGCAACCGGTACCAGTTCTGTTTATGTGTTTGTCATACGATATCATGCGTGTTATTACGATTGTGTGTGTTTCTGGTTGATTTTTTTGATTTTTTTTATATGTTTTGTTTTTATTTTTTCATAATAACAGGAGTTTGTTCAAGAATTTGCATCAAAAGCCCGTATTCTTGCCACTGTGGGTGTTGAAATTTTACAGCTAGTCGAGAGGGCGCCTAAAGATTTATTAGGCAATGATAATTTTATGAAAATGCGGTGTGCCGCACAGAAGCTACTTGGGGTGTCTAATGAAGACGTAAAAGGAAAGTCTAGTCAACAAACACCCATCTGTAATGACGGACCTACCGTTCCCGGACCAACACAGTTAGTGGATGATGCATTCTGGAACGACCCTAAGAATCTGGCTGCCTTAGATGCTATTATCGATGCTGTTGCGCATCGAGACCGTTTTAAACGGATTCATCATGAAGGCCCCAGTTTTAGCTTGGGCTTGGGACTTACACCGGATGATGAGGATGCTGATGCAGGACGATTCAATAATCTCAACGAATTCACTACTGACGGTCCTTCCAATTTAGACGTTCCATCAGGTATTTTGAGTCAATCAGTTCACGTTTATAACTATCTCATCTGATTGTTGTTGTATACATGTGTTTGATGACATCCATTTTTTACCTTTTTCTCTCTCTCTTTTTTTTTTTTCAAGTTGATCGCGATGCAGTGGTTAATGAACTGGATGCAAATACAATTCCCGATTGCGTGCAAGGTATTAACTCCATACGTTCTATATATTCAAATATTTTTTATATTGTTCGTTCTGGTTGTATTTAGGTGCTTCATATGTGTTGACTAGGTGCCGGTGGCGATGCGATTACTGACGATCCTGTTGTTGATGCTGGTAGACCAAAAAAGAGTCCCAAGTTTTCCAGCATGGTTAAGTCACCTTTCAATCAAAGGTATATTGACGTGGTCAAGTACCTCGACAGCCAGGAAAAGGCAGTTGTTAACTGGGTTTTGCAAAAAGCTAACGAGTAAGATTTATGTTGTGCCATTGTGTTATTATTTTATGTAATCAACTTTATTATTCATTGTAATTATTTATTATATTTTTTGTTGTGTTGATAATATTTTTTTATACACAGCGATGTGATTATATATCAGACACTGTCACTTGATTATGCTGTGAAGAGAGATGTTGTGGCATGCTTGACACCGAACACGCCAATTCCCGAGGCACTTATTGATCTGTGGGCTCGTATAATGAACAACAATGAGAAGCTCGGGAGTCGTGGCTCAGTAGCGTGTTTCTTTGCAACCACTCGTCCGTGAAATGAGGTGCAATGTGATATATTTATGATGTATTGGAAGTATACTTATGATATTTGATCTACTTTGTTGTTTCAGTAATATTTACGACAGAAATTTGTGAATATCAGCTATTTTTTAAGGGAAAGCGAAAAAAGGACGTGAATTACAAGAAGTTCGTAGAGAGGCTAGATTCAGATATCGGACGAATGTGTGGACATAACTGGAAAAAAGTTGCATTGGTATCTCGAATTATTGCATTTTAGATCTTGATTATAATGAGTTGTGTTACATTATAACCGTCTGGTCATTTTTTTGAATTACAGTATGTGTTCCCCATGCACTCTGATGGTTTTAGTGGGCTGATTTGTATTTCCCCGGGCGATCAGAAATTATATATATTGGATAGCGTCGGCTTCTGTAAAGATGCCACCATAAGGAAATCCGTCTCGTCTAATGCTACTATCTTGGTAACATATATATTTTCTTGTAGATATTTATTTATTTTATTTATCACGTGACGTCTTTGTTTTGTTTTGTCCTTTTATTGTTTCCGTAGTTCTTTTTTCACGTCTTTGTGTTACATGATAATATGTGTATTTGTTGTAGCGGCAATCTCTCGCCAAGTACATGGGACACACGAGCATGTCAAAATCTTCAAAAGCAGTCGCACTATCGATGCCGGACTTTGTCGATCTGCCGTGGACCGAAGGTGTCGATGTCGTAGATGCCGGCGTTGTAACGATGCGTCACATGGAGACATTCAAAGGACGCATCACGCCACATTGGAATCCGGACGTGAAGAGGGCCAACAAGCGACAGATCGACCTCATGAGGAGGCGATATTGCTACGTCATTGCATTTGCTCCATTCAACAAGTTAAAATGAGAACCTCGCACAATCAAATAGGTTCCATCTGAAGAAAGGCGATTTCGTGTGACGTGTCATTTGTTGTTTGAACACATTAGTCGTATTGTTGGCATGTTTTGTTTTACTACATGTATGCGTAGGACGTAACGCTTGGTACATCCGTCACCTGATGTTTGATTCTAGCACTATTGTTTTGGATGAATATGTTAGTATCTTGTTATGATTTGATTTCGTCTTTTCTTGGTATGATAGCGCAACAATATATATACATATATATATATACATATACAGATGTCTCTGGTACGGAACTATTGAGATTACGTGTGTGGTGAACATGTTGATAAGTGTCGGCATTTAGTTCCGTAAAGTGCAACGAAGTGGTGTATAATGTGCAATGGCATAATGTATAAAGTGCGACTGTGGTGGTGTCGCCATGTTGTAATAACATCAAATTCTACTGTAAGTATATAAGCATATACGTGTTTGTATCAGGTCGTTGTAGTGAATGAATTCGTAATTGTGTAACCGTATCGGGTGAAAAAAGTGCATCCGTCTGTTACCAGGAGTGCAACGTAATGTTAATAGAAGTGCAACATATTATCAAAAAAAATATGCGATATACGCATACATAGTAATTAGTCAATACAACTGAAAAAATACAATGATCAATGAATGTCGTAAAATTCAAGACAACGACTGAGTGCTATATAGAGCGATATTTGTTAATAAATCGACCACCTGTCTCAACACTGTCCGGATAAAAAAAAACAATAATAATATTTAAAAAAAATAAAAAAAAATAAACCAGTTGATCAAGATGAATACAATCATCCCCTTGTCGCCTCGCTTGTCGCATGTTCCTGCATTTTATATATAGTATATATATATATGTTAATATTAAGTCATTACATTTTAATATGCCTATGTTATCGACAAGGCGAATCGAGTTAGCATCCCGCCGTTTCCCATATAATGGGTATTAGACGAATATTTGTTCATTTACCGCGGTTGGATTCGACATGTATGTCTGATGCTTCTTGGGGCATGTACGTGCGTTGTGGCCTGTCATTTCACCACATGACTTGCATGTCCTTCGTTTCTTTTTCGACCCTTCAATCCCTTTCTCTTTCGCACTCTTTAGTCTCTTACCGCTACCTTTGTTCTTGGACTGGGTCGGTGGGTGAATGTTTACCTCTCGAGGAGCGGCCATGCCGACGAATGATTCAAATTGGTGTTCTTTTCCAATGTGCATATCATCCACAGCACCCCCTGTTGAGCAGCATACATTTTATTCTTTATGAAGTGCAATGACTTGTGTCATAATGTGCAATGTCGATATATATAAAGTGCAGTACTGTAACTTAAATATTTAAAATCATTATGTATATTTTACCATTGATTGTTGCATCCCCTTGTGTTCGAGCAGACAGTAGCTTAATCTTGTATGCTTCGACGATTTTTGAAAATTCAATGAGGTGGTCGACACAGGGCTCGGCTAATCCAATGCATATAGTATATCTGACCATAGTTTGTTCAACAATCGATTTATATCATCGGCATTGGCACACTGTGCATCAATGTTATCGAGAACGTGAAACATGGGATTACTAATCGCCTACTTTGTCCATCTCGGCATGATATATGCTGACGGAATGAGATTGAAGCCCAGATATTTTAGCACAACAAATACGTGTTTACACAACCACCCGTACAACTCGAAGTGCTTGCACAAACACGAAGACGTAGTTAGAACCACATCATGAACGACAGTGAAGGATTTTCCATTCGTCTCTTTGATTATGAATTCCATATGCCCTTCACTTTCAGATACATTCAATACACGACAGGTGAAACATGCTGCACATATCTCATCTTGTACGCGGTAGAATGAGGATATCGTGTAAACAGACATCGCGTGCTTTTCAACCGGCAAAGGTGTCTTCAAATCAGCAATTTGCGACTCACTGTCATTTTGTAGCTTGACTGTCGCGTTTTGCTGCGCGTCCATCGCACTCTCGAAATGTAGTAAGAACTCGACTAAGCTAGAATGGCTATTCGTGAAATGACCAAACCAACTGTTCTCACTCTCGGACCTTGATGTTGTCCTCATCAATCCGCTCATTTTAACATCCCTAAAAAATGCTGGAATCCAAAATTCCCTTTTTGCAAATAGATCATTAAACCAATTGTGTGTTTCCAGTGTATAGTCTCTCATGATTGCCGCCCATTTAGCTTCAAATTCGTCAGGCTTTATAGTTCGATCCCACACAATTTCATTAAGCCTTCTCCTGAATTCTACATCGTTACCTATTGAATGGCCGACCTTGTCGCATAATTTATTCATTATATGCGACATGCAAAATCGGTGTTTGCAAGTTTTGAATACCTTAGGAAACGCAATGCCGATCGAGGGATCTTGGTCAGTTACAATATATTCGGGTTCGTGCATCATTGCATCTTTGAAATTTTTGAACACCCATTCATAAGAGTCCACGTCCTCTTTTGATATTAATGCGGCGGCAAATGTAACGCACCTGTTGTGGTTATCTATTCCGGTAAAAGGCGCAAACACCATTTTGTACCTACATGTTGAGTAATTTGTGTTAGTACACAGATGAGAACGTTTATATTGTGCAACCAGGGACTATAAA